CCTTTCTATACTGGTGTTCAAGAACACAGAACCGGTGATAGAGGGGTTTGCACAGCCTTCTCAGAACCTTATCGACAAACCATACACTATAAAACCTGAGAACCGATACCTTAAACCCTGAACCTGTATTCGGGCTAACGCCATGCATTCTGGTGTTCAGGAACCCAGAACCCGAGTAAAAGGGTTTGGATGTGCGGGCACGAGAATACAGAGAAGCAGGGGACCAGATGAATCTGACGTGGACTTGGGGCTCAAGTGGAAAAACCTGAAGCAGTTAGGTGTGATGTGGCAAAAGGCCTTGCTCTGGGCCTTGTTTGTGCTGCTGCGACAGGTAGATAGGCCAGCGAGCCCAGCCATTGTGCCCTCCACCTGCGTGTGCGCGAGTCAGGAATCTCATCGAAGTGAGGTCTTTGAAGAGGAACGAGTGATCGTGCAGGCAGTTGGCCCCTCCAGGGTCGAGACTGTTGTGATCGCGGCTGCAGTGGGTTGGGCCCCTTGGGTCCTTTCTTGGTGCTGGACCTTCTTGACTCGACGCAGACCTCCGCACTCTCCCTCCAATGGCAGGCGTCGAGGCGGAGGTGTTCTGGAGATTCCGGGCAGGAACTAGAGTCGTCGTGTTCTACCAGGATGACACTGTATGGCACGAGCGCTACATTCTGGCCCCAGGGCACCGCGCTGAGACATACTGGATCGTGACCCCGGACGACGACGTCTATGAGGAGGACCTTCAGGGCAGATCGCCTGACGGGCCATCCCGTGTGCGGGAGGTGCCCCCGGGGATACGTACTCTTCCTAATCTGAGGACCTCGGTGTACCGCTTCCGGGAGGCCATGACTGACGCGAACCTGAAGGCCAAGGTCAAAGTTGCACTGCGTGAACATGAGGAGACCTATGGATCGATTGCGTCACTGGCCGACTTCGAGGTTGACCTCCCCAGCGGTGGTACCGTCACTCTGGGCGGTTTGATCGGACGACGGTTGGCTGGAAAGGGACCGGCAGTCCGTCGCACTGAACGGGCCGCTACAGGTTGGAAAGACACACCGGGGCACTCGTGGCTTGCAGCCGAGCCCCGGGGAGAGATCAGACTTGGAGATGTCTTGGTGCCTCAGGCTGGGACAGACATCGAGCTCGGAGCCACAGATGGCGCATTCCTGCGAGACGGCGGCTGGCTTCGGGGTGAGCTTGTCCCAGACAATCCGGGATGCCTGGATCCAAGAGCGCATCATTTCCTTGACCAGTGTCGGACCTTTGCCAACTGCTCCCGCGGACATCCTGGGGATCCCGGCCGACACCACTGCGATTGAGGCCGATGACCAGGGCGCGATCCTTGACAAGGAGAAGGGCAAGGAGGAAGGCCAGACAGGCGGGGATAATGATGCTCGAACACTCTGGGTTGAATATGATGAGCAGGGTGAGCGTCACCGAGAGTGGCGAAAGGTTGTAGCTGACTGTGTTGTCCACTCCTGGAAAGATTGGCCGCACGAGGGGCCGCCATCTTTGCAGTTCGCCCTCAAGCAGTTCGGGAAGATCGGGGGAGACCCCAGGCTATGGTTTCAACTGTGGCTTCGTCGCCACCACCTGGCCGAGACTGACCGAACAGCCCACGAAGTCCGCACTCTCATCGAGGCCCTCTATTTGGGGGGCGTATATGATCAGCTGAACCTCCCAGCTCTCGCTGCCTTCGAGGCGATTGGGAGGAGACTCCAGACTATTACCGAGGCTTATGCAGCTTCCCCGGGCAACGCGCCCGAATGGCATCATGCCCGCCTCTTCACTGGCGTCTCTTCTCCAGACGAGATCGTTCCTCAAGAACTTCGTGCCTGGGCGGCAAAGCGAGGGAAGGATGAAGTTGAGCTGATACAGGCTAGGAGCAAGATCAAGGAGGTGCGGAAGCTTCTCGCCAGTGGGGAGTCTACAGGTTCCGCTGCCGAAGATGCACTACCTGGGCCTCCGGGTGGCAAAGGGGGCAACAGAGGCGGGCGTCCCAGGAAGACCCTGGAGCCAGGCATCATGAAGACTACGGATGGGCCATCTCCTGGGGGCCGGGGGATGGGCCCGGATGCGCGGCCCCGTGGGGGAATCTTCCCCCTTCCTCTTTTGCAAGTTGAGGCCAGGCGGCTTGGGCTCTCCCGAAGGTGCGCTCAGCGGCAAGGCCGTCGAATTAATCACATTCGGGACGCCAACGAGGCAATCGAAGCCCTCAATTGGATGGCTGGGGCCTCTGTGGTTGGCGACGTTTTTCGACCTTCATGCCGACAACAGGAAGTTTTAGACCGGGTGGAGGCCGCGTGCAAGGATGCTCTCTCTTTGCCAGAGGGAGTGACTGCTCCCATTCCTCAGGAGGCAGCCTTTCAAGAGCTGCTCCGCGGCGCCTCGGTTTACGAGGCCGCCGGTACAACCTTGGCACCCTTCAAGCTTGAGCGTGTGTCCCTGCCAGATTCAGTGCACGACTGTCCTCAAGTCGCTGATCTGTTGCCGGGACACGCCCGTCAATATCTGGAGGTTCCTGAGCGCATGATGAGACAGGACATTGAAAGTGTTTGTGATGTTGAACCATATTGGGATCCAGCGCTGCGCTCTAGCACTAAACAGTACAAGGGACTCATTGAGAAGCTTCACTCCATCGGCTACCTGAACTACACTCTCCGCCCACGGGCTAGGGCTGGGATGTTTTTTGTCAAGAAATCCGATGGTGTAAGGCAAAGGCTCATCATTGATGCCAGGAGGGCAAATGCGCTTCTAGCTCAGCCACCACCGGTGCGGCTCCGCACTCCGGAGGCTTTCGCTCGATTCGAGTTCAACTACAGCTCGGACGACCTTCGCCAGGCCATGCCGGGGATCGTTGGGCTCTCTTCGTGGGCTTGTCCGACATCAAAGATGCATTTCACCGCTTGCGACAGCCCCGGTGGATGCAGGAGCTGTTCTGTCTGGATCCGATATCGGCGCACTGGGTTGGACTGCAAGGTCAGGAGCTCGATGGCATTACCCTTGCGGCAGACCAGCTAATTTTTCCCATGCCGGCCTCGCTGCCTATGGGCTGCAGCTGGTCGTTGTTTTTTGCGCAGGCGGTCTCGGAGCACCTCATGAGCGACGTGCCGCTCTTGGCTTAGTCGACTCTTTTACGAGACCGGGGTCCGCCTCTTGTCATCCGCAGCCACGGCCCGGACAACGCCTGTGACATGGAAACACAGCTGCCCGCCGGGGACCCACGTCATTATGTTTACGTTGACAACCTCGGCGTTTTGAGTACTTCACAGGAAGTCGTCAACGGTGCCCTTGGCGAGATCAAGAGCAGGTTTGAGGCTCGCGGGCTTGTCCTACACCCTGGCGAGATTGAATGTGAGCACATTGACGCCCTTGGCTGCAGGCTATCGGGCACGAAGCGGCGAGCCTCGTTGAAGCCGGCAAGGCTGTGGAGATTGAGGCAGGGCCTTCGCTACCTTCTCAGCCTTCGAAGTGTGAGTGGTCGGGTTGTTGAAGTTATCCTGGGACATTGTACCTATTTTGCCCTCCTCAACCGCTCGCTCATGGCAGTCTTCAGCAGCACCTACAAGTTTGTACGGAAGTCGTATGATGCTCGCTGTCCTTTGTGGTCGTCAGTTCGGCAGGAGCTTCAGACGTTTTTGGGGTTGCTACCTTTATGCTTCGCAGACTGGGCCAGGGAGTGGAACACCTTGGTCTCCGCCTCAGATGCTTCACTCAGTGGCTTTGGCGTCTGCACCAGCATGCCCGAGACATTGTAGGAAGCATTGGAAGAGTACCCGAACGGGAGCGCTTCCGAAGGGGGCCCACTTTGGGAGCCAGAGCCTCGGCTTTGATTCAAAGCGATATCGGCGACGATGAGGAGGCTGACTGTGCAAAGCTTGTTGAGGCAGGCTGGGAAATCGACAAGGACTTCCCGGAAGTGCTTCGTCAGCTTCTCAGTAAAGATCGCTGGGATGTGAAGCTACATGGCCGTTGGCAGCACCCTGATGGCATTCTGGTCCTAGAAGCACATGCTCTGCTGAAGTCTCTCTCTCGAATCGCCCGCACTCAGTGGGGACAGAACATCAGACAATTGTTGCTGGTTGACAACATGGCTGTACCTCTCGCATTCGACGGAGGGCGGTCCAGGAATTACACTATGCTGCGGATCGTTCGAAAGTTTGGGGCTTTATGTCTAGCTCGCAATATTTCCCCTAGTGTGCGATGGATCCCTTCAGAGTACAACTCTGCAGATGATCCTTCCCGATTCGAGGAGGGTGCGACGTTTGGCCCCACCAATCGAGCCCAAGGCAGCACCTGTGAAAAAGCGACAGCGCACACTGGAGGCACCAGCCGTGGGGACAACTACGAGTGCAACAGGACGAAAGCAACCGAAGATCCTGGAGCCCACCGACCTGTCAACCCTGTTGGTGTCTCAGGCCCGTGGCGTGGTGCGACTGCCCGAGGACGACGCGGCCTTGGCCTCTTTGCCCGCACGGGAGACCAGCAACCAGGAGACGTCCTCGAGCGAGTCCGAACAGGACCCGGCACCTTCGCAAGGGCCAGGTCGCACGCGGGCTTTGGCGCAGCGGAAGAAGAAGCGACTTCGGAAGTACCTGGACGCAGCGTTCGCGAGCGCCCAACGGGGCTCCACTTTCCTCGAGTCCGAGGTGGTCACTTCGAAAGTGCAGCAGTACTACCGCAAAGAGCTGAATGCCTTCAATCGCTTCGTGGTGCGCTACGGGCTGGACAAACGGAACATGGACGCGACCATCACATCGTATCTGAATCACCTGTTCTGGGAGGGACAGCAACCTCACAGAGGCGAGAAGTTTTTGGCAGCGCTCATGCACGAGCAGCCCGCCTTCGGCAGACTGGGAACTTGCAAGCTCCCCAGAAGCTGGCGAGCCCTCAAAGGTTGGCGGCGGCTGTGTCCAGCAAGGTCTCGAAAGCCAATGCCTCTTTGCGTGTGGCGCGCACTCGCCGTGGAGATGTGAAGAGGCCGGGCAGACTCGCATGGCCATCTTTCTGCTCCTCTCCGTGTCCACTTACAGCCGGCCCTCCGAGCTTCTCCGGTGCACAACCAGATGCCTGGTCCGACCGAGTATGGGGGCTCTGAACGAGTGGGCGCTTTTGCTGGCCGCTCAGGAATACGAGACCCCAACCAAGACCGGCGACTTCGACCATTCAGTGGCGCTGGATTCTCCTTGGCTCCAGCCGTGGATCCGGCCGTTTCTGGAGGCGCTCAAACGGCAGCCGGCAACGACGCCGCTGTGGGACTTTCAGTACGGCGAGTACCTCGGAGCCTTTCGGCAGGCCTCGCAGCAGCTGGGATTGGACTTGTCTCCGTACCAGATGAGACACTCCGGGCCGAGTATAGACCGGGCGAAAGACTGGCGGAGTCTGTACGACGTGCAGAAGCGGGGCAATTGGAAAGCTTACAAGTCGGTCGTGAGATACGAGAAGGCAGGCCGGCTGTCGTTAAGTTACCAGAGCCTCCCACGCAGTCTTCAAGTGTATGCCGACTTGCGCGAGCAATGTCTCGGGGATGTGCTCCTCAATCGTCGGCCTCCACCGCCCGCACCGTGAAGAACAGGCGGCCAGGGTCGTACTTTCTTGACCTCTTCGCTGGCAAGGGGGGCGTTTCTCAGTGTCTTCGCCTTCTCGGATACAAGAGTTTTGAGTATGATGTCATGCATGGACCACGGTATGATCTAACACTGCCCCAAATCCAGGCTCGAATACTTCATGCCGTTCGTACAGAAGCAGTGCTTGGTGTCATGACCGCTCTTCCATGCCATTCCTTTTCAGGCGCTCGGGATCGCACATCTGTCATACGCAGTCGTGAGTTTCCCTGGGGTCTGCCAGACCGCCTTCTTACTCAAGCTGACAGCGAAAAAGTTGCACTGGGCAACCTGTGTGCTCGTGCCACTCTGAAGTTCATACAAGCCTGCGATGCACGCTGTATTCCGTGGATCGTTGAGAATCCGCACTCTTCTAAGCTGTGGGCTCTGCCAGAGTTTGAGCGGCTTACGTTGGTCTCGCACACTCAGGTCCGGGTCGTCGACTTCTGTGCCTACGGCACGCCTTGGCGCAAGCGCACACGACTTCTGTGTGGCAACGTCGACGAGTGTGATCTTGATCGCTTGAATTGCCGCAGGTGCTCAGGTCGCGCTGGCGGCTGCTCCTTTCGTCACCGAGGCCACTTTCAGCTCACAGGTACCGGTCCGCACGGCGTCCCTTGGACAACTTTGGCCCAGCCCTACCCTGCCCTTCTTTGCCGTGATTTGGCACACGTCCTGTGTGCTGCTGACATCGTTTGTGGCGAACATCTCCGCTGATACGGGATGATATGGGATGTGAATGTCTATGGGATGTGAATGTCTATCTCAAGGCATACTTGGTGTTCTTCATACGCCTTTGCGGGTCCTTCGATGGCAACGTCATTCACGTCCACTATACGTTTGCCTTTCAGTCTTGTTTCACGGCAGCGGACCCGCTAAAGGATCTGAGACATGCACCGCGCAAAAAGTTGGGCGCTTGCTGGGATGTATGGATGATGTGCGGGCACGAGAATACAGAGAAGCAGGGGACCAGATGAATCTGACGTGGACTTGGGGCTCAAGTGGCCCGCCCTCTCCGCCCTGGGATGTGAATGTCTATCTCAAGGCATACTTGGTGTTCTTCATACGCCTTTGCGGGTCCTTCGATGGCAACGTCATTCACGTCCACTACGTTTGCCTTTCAGTCTTGTTTCACGGCAGCGGACCCGCTAAAGGATCTGAGACATGCACCGCTCAAAAAGTTGGGCGCTTGCTGGGATGTATGAAAATCCCTCTCAGAACCCGTGATACAGGTGTTTGCAAATCGGGGGCTGCGCCCCCCCCCACCCCC